CAGTGTGACAGGGTGAAGAGAACACTTTGAATACTGGAAAGCAACAAAGTCAATAACCAGTGTTGTTAACAGGCTGTCAAGCTACTGCATAAAGACACAGTTTGACTCACCCCCGTCCCATTGTCACACACCACCACTTTTCTCCCCTCGCTGTCCATGCTTCAGCTCAAGATGCTCCCTCCTGTCAGGACAGGGGTCAGACTAACAGATAACCAATACAAGATTAATACACATGAATTTGGCAGTGACTGAAACTGACAGGTAAGCAGAAGTCTTCTTGCAACTCCTTCCAGCATGGGCGGGACCACTGAGTGTTAGGACGCCCATTTCCAGGGGGGGCCGGTGGGAGGAGGGAGACCTATACTTCACTTTTTTGAGGCAGTTGAAGGTTGTGTACTTTTGACACTTCCTCCTCTCTTTGCAACAGAAAAGAGGAACATTTGGTGCAATGGTTGGTTAAATGTCACCACTCTGCCCACTTCTGGTGAGACTTAGCTTTACAAACCTGTGTGCCTTTTTGGAAAGTTAAATGTCAAGATATATAAATTCCCAGACACTGCAGATTGTTTTTGGTAGACCTTGAAAGTTTTCTCATCTCCTGTAACCTCTGTATAAGAAAAGCAGCAAATACATTCCTGATTTTGGTTAAAATTATAGCTGATAGTGAACTACACAATTACACACTATTATTTTCTTTAATTTTGATTATATGAAATTTTAGCCTAATTAAAATAGATTATCTTGTTTATTTACTTATTTCTATGTACCTTATAGCCCATGTCATTATTATTTAATCATTTATTTATTTATTATATTATTTTATTATTAATTTATTTATAATGAATACATTTATTATTTTTATCTTATTATTTAATATTAAATTTTATTTTTATTTTATTATTATTTTTGTCTGTCATTTTTATTCATTGTTTTTCAATTGTCAGTGCACTTTTAAGTTTTTGTATTTTAAACTGCTTCAATAAAAACAGCGGTAATATCATTTTTATCAGCCTATAAGAGTACAAGGTAATAACACCCTATGCTTTTTGTATCACTGTCAGTGTTGGGCAGTAACTAGTTACATGTAACTACAAAATAAATGTAACCAGCTACAGTTACAAAAATATACAATTAAATTACAGTTACTACACAAAGGAGTTGCATCTGAATATATTCTTTTTGGTTAAAACCAAAAAACATGAACCTACAAACAAGCAGACCGACATAAAGAAAGAAATATATACAAATAATGAAAAGCATAATAAAAAGCCATTGTCAGTGTATAGTTAGTTTGATTTACACATTTGAAAAGGAGTGGGAGGAAGTAATTAAATTCCACCTCTTCTCCATAATACATTGAGTGAAATGAAACAGACAGCTTCCTTATATATATATATATAAACCTTTTCTAAATATACCATTGTTATTACCATTTAACTTTGTCTCACAAAAATAACCCATGTATATGTGTATAATAGTAATTACCAAATATCTGTCTTACAAAATCCTATCTCAGTGTGTAATATAAATGATCAATTATCCATGACGTACAAGTAAAAACCAGTCCAAATGTATAATACACAGTCCAAATCAGCCGACACTGCCATTACTGGGCCGTTACCAGAAATGACCTGGCCCAGCATCGGTCCAAACTCGGCATGCCAGATGAAATTAGCTGGGCTGCACCCGGTTGCTTGACTCAGCTGAGACTTGTTATGAATGATGCTCCAGAATCAGGCTGAATCAGTTGGTTTGATTCTGGCTGCCGACACTACCATCACTGGGTGCAATACACATACCATAGGACAAATACCACAATACATACATCACAACATATCCTAAAATACGTTACTCCAACAGACATACCATGATACACCAATACACCTAGGGCCGTTTCATAGTCGATGCAAAGGCACGCACACGCGAACGCATTGGCCGCCATGATGCGTGCTTGTATCTCAAAATGTGTTGTTCATTTTTTTGATACACGACTTATGTAATACAATACGTTGCCAGCTGGGGTGATAATGCAAGTGACGTACTTGAAATTAACCTCTTTTTGTTATTTACAGAAGAAGCAAGTATGAAATATGGCGGGCGAGGAAGAAAAACTTTGCGAACTAGTACGGGCACACCCCCATTTATATGACAGTTCTAGTGCCCTGCACTCTTATAAAATAGCAGTACTAGCTAGCTGGAATGTACCGGTGACTCTGCTACCCCCTATTGTGCGAGCAGTGTATTGCATTTCAAGTGTCGCCCGCGTTGCTTGCTTCCAATGTGTTGACTATGAAAGGAAGTGTGTCGCTTGTTTGCATTGCGTGCTTCAACTATGAAACGGCTTTAAAACTCCTTAAAAGTTTGAGCGTATTCCAACAGTCTGTTGGTTTATGCATCGGCATCCTGGACATGCTAAAATCTATTCCAAATATTTTTTTTAAATTTTTCAGTAAATTGGCTTTGTTCTTAAGGGAGGCATCTTCCCCCTTCTTATCCCAATAAAAAAAAAGATTAAAAAAAAAAAAAACAGTTGCTAAATCAATCTGAAATGTAGACTACAGTTTCTGTAGTCCTTCAATACAGGTTTTTAAAATCCTTCCCATATTGAAGGCAATATCTAAAAGAGACATTAATTGTACTTTTATTAATAGTATGTATAATGTATAATTGTATAATTTCACAAGATAACGTTTTGTGCGTCGTAAAATTTCAATACCAGCTAGGAGGCGTCGTTTCCGACCCATTATCTTCTACCGTTAACGGCCGTTGGACTACAGAACGAGCAAGAAGGTATGTCACTTCCGGCCTCCATCTTTGTTTCAGGAAACAGTCGCAACTCATCAACAGTGTTAAACATCTTCTTCAATGTGCAGCAGAAATAATAGCTTTGTTCAAAATGTGTTGACGAATTTATTTTGGGACCTGGAAATATCCTCAAAACATTGGTAAGTCTTTTTCTTTTAAACTTTGGCTTGTATTCATCTTCAGAAAAATATGCTAGCAACATTTAGGCTATGCTAATCATCAGTGCAAACGTCATAACAGTGAATGTGGTAACTAATCACACATGAAATAAAGTAGTGCTTAGATATTAGTCAGTGAAAAGTTCATTGTACTTTAGTATTAACTCTTAACCTGCCCTATAACAGATAAAGTTGTCTATGTTAAGTTAATGTTAGCTAGTGGAGCATTTAAGATAGCAGCTGAAGATTAGCTTAAATTAGGGTGAATATTGGGCTTTACATCCATGATGTGTCTAAAAACTGAATACTGTTGTGTCTGCGTCTGCTGGCTGTGTAAGAGTAAATAGTTTGCTTTCATGTGGACCACATCAAATGTGGCAAATGAGGGTTGAAACTTCAGCAGAGATGTAATTGCTTGCATAATTAATTGCTGCATTGCTTGTATAAATTAAAGGAGCTAGGCCATCATTAGTGTTATTGGTTACACCTGTGCTTTCCCTTCCTTGACTAAATGTGAGAAAGGCTCATGAACAGTGGTGAGATACGGAAGGCCATTACAGGAAAGGTTTTGAACCACTGATAGCGATGTGGTATTTCTGATGTAGTGAGCTAGAGAAAGACTAGCTTATTATAGAGTATATTGTTTGTGTATGTGTGTATCATAGTTTTGTCTGTGCTCAGTTTGAGCTCAGAGGTGTGCCACCACTGTCTGGTACAGTATATTGCAAATGTAGCTCTGCTTTGGTTATTAAATGTAAATGCGTGTCAGCAAATGGAGCAACACATGGTACCAGCAGTGGCCCACTGATTTTTGGGCAGTCATCTGTGGCTATATTGTACAAAGATTTTTTATAGCCTTAAAGTATAACTGACAAGGTAATTAGATAGAACAGAGGTAGTTGAGACTATAGATATGCAGCATATGTGACTAATGATGGTTCCCCAATTTTAATGTAGTTGTTGATACGTTATGATACCTGAATTATTAATCTTGGGCTTGATTTTGATCTGAATTAAAAGAGCACTGTGAAGGATTTATGGGATTTAGTGGCATCTAGCGGTGAGGATTGCAGACTGCAACCAACGTGAACTCCTCTTTTGCTTTCCCTCAGTGTTCTTGTTCAGGAGGTTTTTATTGGGAGCCAAATTATCCTCAGAGGTCTCTTCCTCTCCAAAACAAACAGACCAGGTGATTTATACTGTTAAAAAACACTGAACAAAGCAGTTTAAGGTTACAAATCCGCTGTTTGGCTCGTCACTTCTTAATGCGTGCTCACGTTTTTTCTCTCATAACTTAAGATCCAGACATTGAAGAGGTTTTTACAATGAGCTGAATTATCTGCAGAGGTCTCTTTGTGTTGTGCCAATGCTGCTTGTCACTGATAGGGCTGTCAACTATGGTAGCTGATGTGAGAACACAAAAACATTCTGGGCTGCTGTAGAAACCTAGTGGTGCAACAGGACCCACTCCTTATGTAGATTATTAACAGCTCATTCTAAGTTACAGGAAACATGGCAATTCTTATGTTCAGATGATTGTACACTAAAGAAAATATACTTATTATTATATATTACATTTCTGCCAATATATGCCCCTAAATCCTTTTACACAGACTGTGTTCCCTTGTTGTTGCCCTTTACGTTCAGTGGACTTAAATAAAAAAAAAAAAAAAAAAAAAAAACCTTTCCCAGTGAAACATTAAGTAATTCAAGGATAATTTCCAGCAATAAGAAACTACAAAAATGCTTCAAATGTTGTTTGGCAGTGCACCCACATTAGCTTGCGTGATACAGGACAAGATATTAAACAATTCTGTTCAGGGTTCAATCTTGACAGTTGGAGTTTTGGATAAATTCTGGTTGCACAGTTTATGTTCTTCCCTATGTGGAGACCCTGTGTTCATGGAGCCAATTTGAGGATTCTCCGTCAGTTAAAATGTAGACATCATTGTAATTTATGGATGGTACGTGGCCCATGGCTCGAGTCCTGGCACACCATACAGTTTTGAGCCTATAAATAAAGTGAGTCAGTAAAACTTTGGATAAAAATAGGTTCATTTATTTACACAAAACATTAACAAAATACATCTTTTCATTGAAATGCAGTGATGTGTTCTGAGAAGTGATGGTTGTAAGGAAGACAGCAAACAGTAGACCTTTGAGCTTGTCGTTCTGACGTGCAACACAGTCATATCTGACCAGGTCTCACTGTTCTCAAATGTAATAGGCACATTGAGTTAAGACCGATCAGTGCTTTACATTCTCGCTGTCTCATCTTTTCTGCTTCTAGCTCCTGCGGGAATTTATCAACAGAGCAGCTCAGGAGCGTTTACAAAAAGCCCTACGTATTTCACACAGTAACCAAAAAGAGAAGTGAACAGGTAAAACGCAGCTGGTAACAAAATGCTTTGTATTTTAAGCAGCACGTGTGCATCATTAGTTACATTAAGTCTGTCTAAACTTAAATTATTATTAGTTTTTGCATTGTTAAAAGAGTGATGCCCTTAGTTCCTTTTTAAGGCAGTGAGATGTGTTTAATTGTTCACTATGTTTACATGCACATCATAACCTGATCACATTGAATAACAAGATTAAGGTAAAGACAGTGCAATTTTAAACATTATCATAGGTTGCCAACAAATTGTTTTGCTATTGCCTTTAAATATGTGGATTTTGGACATTTATTTGAACATGCATCTAGGTTATCCTTATGCTGACAGTTAATTTAATGTTTAATGTTTGAAACAAGGCGATTAACACTTTCCACAGTCGGCATATTTTGCCGTAACCTGAAGATAATCAAGTTATTAATGTGCATGTAAATGTAGTCACATTTATTAATAGCCTACTCAAGGCATTGTTCGTTGTGTCCTCATGATTTCCATACAATTGAATCCTGTAGCTTAGATAATGACTATTAGAAAATGATCTATCCAAAAATATTTACTGAAGCCAGTATCAAAACTGAAAATATTAACATTCACATTAACTAAAGACCATGGTCGGCAGTAAACTAATTCATATAACAGTTGAGGTCACGTGCCATGGTGCTTTTTTAAGTGCATGTTGTTTTTGCATATCATTGCCGTACAGCGTCCACTCCTCGTCCTCCTCCCACTGAGAACATCTCCAGTGTGTCCACAGCCAGTTCAAGTGTCTTTAACACGCCTAATGACAGATGGAACGAGTCCATGAAAAGAGTCCATCGTCTCAGGACTCGAACTCGCTGTCGCTGCTGACGGAGATCTCTGGGGTGGAGGCTCCTGTTCCTCTGCGCTCGTTCTCTGTGCTACAGTCGCTGGCCTCGGGGCTGCCCAGGTGGCGAGGGGACGGAGGCAACAAGTGGGGGTGATGGCGGCGCTCTTGAAGGGAGCCGTCAGGTGAGCTCTCCGAGGGCAGGAGGGAAGGGTCCTGCTGCATTCTGGGTGGAGGGAGAGATGAGAAAGATGAGACGGGGGTCCAAGATGGGAGTTTTTTAACAGTGCATGTTCCTCTTCAGACAAATATTAGTATTTATCACATACATTTTTAACAGACCTTATCTATTTTACCAAAGGCCAACTGAGTCTGCTTCTCAGAAAGTATTTCTGCGGCAAACTGAACCTATAACTCAAATTAAGAGCAAATTTCAAGCCACCATGAGGCCAATTTTCATCCTCTTCTCTCCTTCTTATTCACAATCAGCATAATCTTCCACATTTCTTGACGTACCTGTTCTTTGCTGATGCAGCACGGTCTCTTTGGCGGCGGTTCTTGAACCAGTTGCCGACCTGTGTGGGCGTGAGCCCCGTGGCCTGGGCCAGGTGGCGTTTTCTGGACGGGTTGGGATACGGATCTTGGAGATACCACTCTCTCAACAAACTGCGAGTTCTTTCCTGGAGAACACAAAGAAACATAGGAAACATTTAGGCTACCATTCATGTATCATAACATCCCCTCCTGTTGCGTAGACAATACAAAGTACACCTTATTATCATGGAGCAGCACTTTGACAAGACACCATATGGTGTTTTGATATCATCCTACTAAACCACAATAATCTTTATCACTCTCATATGATGCTCAGTGTAATCTTATTAGACTGGATTTATGAATGCAGCACACGATTTAAAATCTACATTAGAAGTATAATTTATAGGCACTAAATTGGATCGTGTTAAGGGGCTTAATAGGCTGCTGGAGACACCATCCCTCTTGAGGTGTGGCATTACAGATTAACCACAGGTAGGAACAATACTGCACCCTGCCACAGGAGGGAGATCACACATAGAAGCACACACCTTCCCTGCTCCCTGAAATTCACTATTGTACTAAGTGAATCTTTGAATTCTGTGTGAAATTGAACCAGTTAGTGGTGTTATTCTAACTTTAAATGGAAAAAATAGAGTCTGTTTGCTCCCAAAAGAGCCACTAATGATCTTGTGACACTGACAATGAAAATGTTTCTGTACTGCAGGTGATGCACTGAAAATGCTGCCCTTTAAACATGGGATAAACGTCTCTTTATTGGCTCCTGAGTAGCAGATAGATGGCTCATGTAGACTCCTGCAGGTCTGAGCTCATAGCCAGTTAAATATTTGCTGCTAAATAAAAATAATATCAAACTCAAACGGAGTCTTGTGGGGAAATCTGGCCTTTGGAGCAGCGCACAGTGAATGCTGCAGCAAATATAATAGACTGAAAGCAGATTAAAACAGTCACACCACAGTTGGTGTCACCAGTTAACACCAGAGCATATTAAACATACAAGTAAATTAAAGTGTGTGACAGAGGCCTACTCATGTGTTATTAAAAAAAAGAGTATAGGCTACATGAGAAGTTGAACACGATGTCAGTGCATGGATATCCTGGTCACCAATTATTGCCCAGCTCTGTTATGGGACCCCTGATCTTGCACCAGGCCACCATGTGTAAAGTAGTTTACGGCAGGAGGATAACCACAGCTCTGGGCATTATCATCTTAAGAGCTCAAAGACCAGGCTGCCTGTTACAGCAGGTTAAAAAGCGTATTTACAGGAGAGAGTGTACAAGTTTCCAAATTAATGTAAATATATGTTTACAAGATGAAACTTGAGGTCCGGAGGGAGCACGTGGGTTGCACCGGGGTCCCCAGCAGCCATGTGAGTGACATTAAAACACGTATTCAGACTTGGTGTTTACCTTAAAGCAGTGCGTCTTCTGCTCGCCGTCCCAGATGGTGCGGGGCAGAGGGAACTTCTTGCGGATCCGGTACTTCTCCACGGGGCCCAGCGGCCGCCCCCGGAGCCTCTCCGCCTCCCGGTAGTGCGCGTCCAGCCACAGGTCCTGCAGCTTGGCGTGCGACTCGCGCGTAAACCGGTGGCTCTGGAGGATCTGGTAGAGAGCCTCGAAGTTCCCACCGTGGAAGGCGACCAGCGCTCTCGCTCGCATCACAGACTCGTGTCGGTTCAGCGCCTCCCCCGCGGAGCCCGGCACGGCGGCGGGGAGGGACCAGAGGAACCTGCCCAGGCGCTCAATGTCCCCGGTCTCCTCCAGGTTCTCGCACACCCGAGCCACCTGGTCCGGGGTGAACATGGGCAGTGGGAACATCTCGGTTAGATCTCAGCAGCTCACCAGAGAGGCTGTGAAGTGTTCACGAGGCGCATGGAGAGGTGTATCCAACCGTGCGTAACGCTCCGTGCGCTTGCTCCGATTTTTTGATATGATGGCAAGTTTACAGCCTCTCTTATGCAACTGACTCGTTCCTGGTATTTGGGCAAATGCTTCAGAGAAGAGACGGCGGCTCCTAGTTTCCAGAGGAGGGCCAAATAAAGAAAGAGGACAAGGAGTCAACCTGTATTTATAGCGAGATACAATTAGCATCTCTGTAGTTGTTTTGAGAAGGATTATACGTCCCGACCATTAGCCTCTTAGTGGGGGGTAGTGTGTACAGAGGTGACTGGCTGATCAGCTTGTTTGGCTTAGCCTGAGGATACACTGACTGCCAGGATGACTGCAGTGAGCAAACAAGCGAGGATAGGTTATTTGATAGGACGGATCTGGTGGAGATGGAGCCAGACCCAGGAGGAGGTGATGAGGGGAGTGGATGTGGAGCGAGACAACAGACAGCAGACAAAACCCAAGAAAATATCAGCAAGATGTCAAAAAATGATCATTTTCGCTTTTAAAGTCACTCTGCAAAATCAGTGCTAAAAATCTGCATCACATGTGCCTACACATTTGGCCAAGAGGACACGTCGGGATGCAAAGCTATAGAGATTCCCGACCACTTAATACCTATGTAATTAAAACAGACATGGCTGCACCTAGGTTATCCTCTTCGACCTCTTGCCAGGACAAGACATAATGAAAACGCCCCTAGACATGGATGCATGGGCAGAGCGACTCCAGGACAAGGAATTAATGATCTGCTGGCCGGTTCAATCCTACTGATCTCAGTAGCTCATTAATCAGTCTTAGGATAATTTTCTTATTAATCAGGTTAGGGATCCTGTTAGCATCTGTCAGCTTTAATGCAAACATGTTACACTTCATTTGCACATGGGAGATTAGAGGAAATATATTCATGTGACTTCTGCCAAGCATCAGTGGACCAAACCCTGCGTAAAGAGTGTCAAATTATTGATATTAAATTAACAGTTTCACTCAATACACTGAAGGCAGACATGGATTAATCCCTGGAGGGAATATGAGACTTTACATAAAGGTTGCAGTCAGGTGAAGGATCATCTGGTTTAGAATAAGGTGAAGTGGATTAAAATCTGTCTACAGATCTGTCTAGATCTATGAACATCGGTAGTCCCAATAGTTAGGTAGTGTTGTGGAGATATAAATAAATATAAAAACAAAAATTAGAAATAATCTCTCTAACAAAAACAGCAATAAAACACCTTTCGTGTCATTTTAAGTCACATATTTTTTCAGTGCATATTGCACAAGTTGTAATAATGTTGTAGATAGGGGTGGGAGATACTACAAAATTTGGTTTTGATCTGATACCAATTAATAGAGGGCCAGAATCACCAATTTTGAAAAATAGCAAGGACGTACAAGAGAGAAACTCATCCCTTTTTTGGTATCAATCCTATTGACACTAGGATTGATCATCAAAATGAAAATGTAGTATCTATAGTATTGATATTTTGGTATTTATATGCCCATCCCTAATTATAGATACAAATGATTATCTACCAATGAACACACAGAATTACAATTCAGTTTAAATAAAAAGTAATTGTAGATAGTATAAATCTGATCAATTTTGTTCCTTAATTCTAAAAATATTGTATTAAAATGTAAAGTCCATCTGAGCGTTGAGTTAGGAGACATCTTAAGACCTGCACTCACACACCAGTTGTGTTTGTCAGGATAAAATATGTCTCATTTTTTAATATTTAATGATGAAACACATTAATTCAATTCAGTTCAAGAGAATTTTATTTATCTGAAGGAAATTCTTGTGCCAGAGAATGTGTCAAATTACAGTAACACTAAGTACAGTAACCACAATTTTAACGATTCACAGTGAGTAACAACCAGACAACCAGTGGGTTCCCCAGGTCAGGGTCACTCACTGGGCCCAGTTTTAGAACAATAGAGTATTAAGTATCTAGCAAAATATACAAGATAGAAGTGTTTTTAAGGAGCAGAAGCAAAACCCAGTGCCTAATGGAGTAACAACAGGAGTAGGATAAGTACAAGAGTTAGTAAAGATGAACTAAAAGATGCCTCATGTCAAGTTTTGCCCTGAATGCATATAAAGCACATGCAAGGGAAACTTTCAAATTGTTTTCATTATTTAAGCAATACAAATGTTTTATTTTTTGGATTTATGAAGCAAAATTTACCCCAAAACAGTTTTAAATTAGATTTTTTTTCCAACATTGTAATAAGGCTGCGTAACATATCTATATTATATTGATATCATGATATTAAACTAGATATCTTAGGTTTTGGATATCGTAATATTGTGTTTTCCTGGTTTGAAAGGCTGCATTACAGTGAAGTGACGGAATTTTCTGAACTCAACAGACTGTTCTAGCTGATCTATCATTTGTCTTTACCTGCTTTGTCATTATATCCACATTACTGATGATTATTTATCAAAAATCTCATTGTGTAGGTATGTTGGAAAGCACCAGTGGTCAACCCTACATTATTGTTGCAATATTGATATTGTGTTAAAGAGTAGAGTTGTAGAGTTGTGAAATGCCAGTTTGCTTTGGCATATCTGACACTCGTCTTTTTGAGGTTTTTTTTTTATTTTTTATTTTTTGCAAATTTTGAAACTTCCAGATGCTTGACTTTTTGTTTGACATCTTGCTAGTGTATCTGTAAGCCTGTCTCTGGTGGTCAAAATGTCATAGTCACAAAACTAGGCCTGACATTTAATTTAAATTTTCTTGTCTGAGAATATCTTATAATTAATGCTGATGCATAATGAATGATGTTGGATTACTATTTCTTAATTTATGGGATTTTTGGGTGATTTTATAGAAAAACAGAGCATTCAGGACACCCAGTAGCTCACTGGTCAGAGGGGGCGTCTCGTGTAGAAAGACTATGTCCTTGCCGCAGCGGCTGCGGGTTTGATTCCAGCCTGTGGCCCTTTGCTGTATGCCGTTTCCTCTCTCTCCCCCTTTCATGCTCAACATCTGACCTATTAAAGAAAGGCAAAAAGCCATGAAAATAATCTTTAAAATAGTTTTGAAAGAAAAACAGAGCATTCAAGCACTGATTTGGACATCAGTTACCATGGCAACAATCAAAGCTTCAAGGCATTTGGGTCAGACCCAGTGAAAAAACAGCGCAATATTTGATTTTCTCCGTATTGACCAACCCTAAATTGTAAATTTAATTTACCAATCACCAATTCATTTTTTCAATACCACAGTTTTAGAAAAGACTCTTGACATTTACAAATAAGAAAATAATGATTTATATTGTAGTTGCTTGAAAATGTATTGTGTCAGTTTTGTGTAACTCATTTGTCAGGGATGTAATTACCATACATTAATCAATTGAGTAAAATTATTGTACTCATTGTTTTGACCATCCTGTATTTATATGTAAATGTGTTGTTTCCTAACAAACAGCGAATCTACCACAAGTTACAACAATGTAAAACAGACGTGTCCAACCAGCAGCCCAAAATCCAAAGAAATTCAATTTACAATGAGACAGACAAAAGCAGGAAATTCTCCCATCTGAGCAGCTGAAATTAGCAGATATTTACGAGATAAATTACTTTAAGTAATTAATTAATTATCAGATTTGAGAGAAGTTAAATTCCAGTCAACTCGTCTACTAATCCTTCCAGCACCAGTCATGGAGGGCGCCTCCCAAATCTGCTCCTGAGGTGCTGTTCAGTGGAGTTTAGGGTAAAGAAAGCGTATAGAATTACTTTATAAGCAGTAGGCAATCATTTGATACGTGTTAGATCCTTAATCTAGATTAAAATACCAGGTGGGATTGGAGGGTTTATGGAGAGGGGGGGAAGGTGTGATTGTGTGTGTGTGTCAGTCACACTCTGCGACACAGAAGGGGAGAAATGAGCTCAGTGAAGATCATACTCACAGCTAATCTAACCCCTCCAAGTTTCAGACACTTCGCGCCACTGACCGCCGCCACACACACACACACACACACACACACTCACCTTCATTACAAGAAATCCCCCCGACCCAATCTGTTTAACACTTTGAGGGCAGACTGAACCAAAATCTGCTTAAGCACTCCCAAGCCGTTAGAACAGGATGAATGATAAGATGGTGATGGGATGAACAGATTATGTATGTGTTTGTAGAAGGTTGGGGGGGTCATGTATATCATATCTTACACCGTATATCTCTGTGACATACATCGTCAGTATTACCCTGCAGTTATTCTTGATAATTTACCCCCTGTTTTAAAGATTAAATGTGTCAAGGCCATTTAAACTTTCCTATATGTCACACCTCAGGCTGTTCGTACTTACACCAAGTAGGCGATTTAAGGAAGGGGTGAAGGGGGACCCAATCCCCCTTTTAGCAAAATAACCAAAATGTCTTCCTCTTGTTACGCTGTTATCCCTCTCCATCCCCTCAAGATCACTAAAGCCCTGTTTCCATCAAGCAGTACGGTATGGTACAGTTCAGTTCGGTGCGCTTTTTTTTTCTGTTTCCACTGTGAAAAGTTGTGGATGGTACCAATGGAACCGTTCTGTACGGTCCCCATTTTTGGTCCCCCCTCTGTTGGGGTACCTAGCGCACAGATCTGGTACTAAAAGGTGGAGCTGTGAACACTGCTGTCCATTGATTGGTCAATAGAGTACGGTCACTTTGCTCAGGGCTGAGTTGTGGCTGGTTTTGAGGCTCATGTAACCACTGTTCACACCGCTAGGGTCTAAGTACCATGTCTGAAGGGTTACTTTTGGTTCCAAAGGTAACATACCGAAAGTGTTTGGTTCGAAAGGGGCTTAAGCGAACCTGGGGTCTAGGTACCATGTCTGAAGGGTTACTTTTGGTTCCAAAGGTACCATACTGAAAGAGTATAAAACACTTTCAGAAATAGGTTATAACATTGTCACTTAAGGTAATAGGCAAGCCACGATCCAGGTCTGGACTCGATGCCGTCTTATCTGGACCCACCCCTATAATTGATGCAATATTGAGAACTGTTTCATTTTGAGTGGTTCTACTTTAACCAGCACCGCATTTCTAGCCTTTATAGCACTGCTTTAGGGGACAAACAAACTTACGGGCCAGTTACATCCGTTGTAGGTCATCTTATGTCCAATCGGCCAATCAAGTCAATGTATTCTGATTAGCATTACGACTGGAGTGAGTGAGATACACACATGGGAAAGTAG